AGCTTTCGTCTGTACCATCGTGACAGACATGATCAGAACAAGATTGCATACCTTACGAAATAGAGCAAAAATATACTAAACCAAGAGGTGGCCGGCTACAACCCTAATTACATTTTTACACACCTGATCCCCTCATCCGGTTGGCTACTTCAACCCTATTCTGCATGCTTGGAAATGAGTGAAATTAACTTCCCGAATCGGAAGCTGTTTATCACACAAAACCTAGTGTACGATCGCCTGAAACTGATTGATATTTGGGATTGTGCTATTGTTTATTGTGTGTATGTAATGGGTAGTATGATAGTCCTAGCTAGACACGAGGCTAATCCATCCTCATCTTGTTCACTAGATCTTCCTGCACCTGCTCTTTCTTCCTTTCCTTAAGTCTATACAGCAGCCATAAAAGTCCCTACCTAGTTCAATACACTCGCAAGAAAGGTGATCGGCGTTTGTTTGGGGTAATTAAGCGAAGGATTAGGGAAGCAATAGAAGCCACAAAACCAGCCAGTACTCTGAATAGAAGGAATGAGTATATGAAGTAAAGTGGAAACTATTTGTGGCGTTTGGTTAGGATTAAAGAAGAGAGGAACCAGAGTTAGTATCGATCAAGAAGAGGCTTGATTAGACTCGAATTTGGTTTTGGATCTCACATCACACTAATCTCAAGAGCATTGCATTCGCGCAACACGCGTGCAATGGAAGGCAATTACGTGCGGTAGCATTGCAAGAACAAAGGCATACGTGGTTTTGGAGAGGAAGCAGCTATTTGGTCACAATTGCAATCGGTTAGCACTTCATCGGCAACCACTTAACTTTCGAGCAAAGCATATGATTTCAACCAAAACTGGTTATAAGAATTAGGAAGGTTTGAAAGCGATAATGTGTTTCCTTAGAATTTTTGGTGAACTATCGTTAAGGAATTCTACGAAACGAAATTTTTCTTTATATCTTCCAAGTACGTAGAGGTTTCATTCTTTTCGGAATTCGTCAGCATATGCAGTACAGAACATAATGGCTTGAATATGAGAAGTATTCACCCTATTTCGTTTAAGGTGATTAATGACTGGTAGTAGAATTTTCCCACAATGATACGAGTAGAACTGACGTTTCCATTGATTTTCATATTGCCTTGATTTCCCAAAAGTTGTTCTCATCCAGGATTGACTACAGTTTTGACCTCGCATCGGTATTATCAACATCCCCAGCGGGATTCGAGCCGTAACAGTGCAGAATGGGAGCTTGAAACATTAACCACTCGACTACATTGCCACGAGTGCCCTTGGGTCACAGGGTATAAGTGAATTTCAAATAAGGTCAGGCCTTTTGCCATATCATATTCTTTGGTGGGATTGCCGATGAAGTAAATATATGTTCGACTCCCACTGGGGGTGTCGATGAGACCGATGCGAGGTCGAAACTGTAGTCCACCCTGGATGAGAACAACTTTTGGGAAATCAAGACAATGTGAAATTCAATACTCATATAATTGTGGGAAAATTCTACTACCAGTTCTTCATCACCTTAAACGAAACAGGGTGAATACCTCTCGTATTACTGATTTACTGGTGGTCTCAAAATTCTACTCCAATACGAAAATAATGGCTTGAGTCGCATGGATCGTAGTCTAAAATGTTGTAAGGTATTCAACCATGAATTGAAGCCTTAATTTTCCAGAATATGGGTCAGATCAAATAGACAGAAAAAGCAGGTGACTAGTGAGAACAACTTGCCTAAAGTCAAAATAGAGACGAGATGACTTCAACACGAGGATAAAAATCAATTTGGAGTAAAAATTACCACGAGAAGTACGGCTCATGAATGCAAGAAACAGCTGTGCAATATGCTAAATAATTCACGTAATTAATAAATCTGATTAATGAGATCAAGGCCGGTGCACTTTCATCAAAATTACGTATATTTACAAGGACTTCGTAAAATAGATGAAATTAGGATCTGGTTTTTTGTTTTTGTTTAGTGATTTTCATTGTCTTGACTTTCCTTTCATTAATCCGGCACTCAGAAGTCGAAGGGGATACTTGATTGAAGTCGGTAAGAAGCAATTTGTTAAGGTTTGAAATTTGATGCAGAGGTGATGATTCGCTGGATGGTAAAGATGAAAGTGAATCCTCATTCAGAACAGAGATTCCATTTTCTGGCTTATGTAAGCTCGACATAGAAGTCTCAGCAAGTTGTAATTTAGTCTTAAATAGCCCTGCACGTTCCAGTTTTCTCTTTCTCCAGGCCTTGCGTTTTGCCTTTCGATATTTAGTCCTCCTTAAACGTTGCATCTGAAATCCAAGAATAGGCAAATTAGTCAAATGTTACTAAACTAGTTTAAATATGGTTCAGTAATATACCTTGATCTGCTCTTGAGTCCTACCAAAATTGACCCCATTAGATTCAGTCCAGATTCGAAGTTGGTGTTGCACTTGCTGCCCTAGATGCTTTCCATATAGCCCCGCATCGACCGCAGTAGATAATCGTTTTAGTTTAGATGTAGAATCATCAGGTTTATTGGTCGAATCGATAGAGGATAAGGCAACTGGGGCTGGATTATGGGTTCTGAAGCAATCAGCACGGCATGCGAGCGCCGCTTTTGCAGCTAACAAACGGGCAGCACGACGGCGGATCACATCAGCGGTTAGCCTTCCAGCACTAATAGTTTTAACTCTGCTGTACCATGGGCGGCGTTTTGATTTGTGCACATGATTAAGACAGGTTAGGCCCGACGGATTGATAGAATTTAGGAGAGATTGTCTTCTGCAGGCAGAAGAAATCAGCCCAAACGAATGAGCAGTAACAGCACCACTTCGCCTAAAATAAAATAGTTAGACAATTCGCATATTACAATAATTCGTCGACGGGAATGAAAGAAATGGTTCACTAGTCATGCACGCTTATAGACGTTTAGTCTTCTGACAGACATGGATAAAGGCAGGTCGCGCGATGGTCATAAGCCCATTCGGAACGACAAATAGGACCTATCACATAAACGCCTTATGCTCTAACAGGAAACAGAACATGAATATAATAGACCAGTTGACTAGACATTAGCTAAACAAATTTATCATGAAAAGATTTTATGAGGTCAGTTAAAAACCTAAATTAAGAAGCGGCATTGAAAGTTAACTAATAAAGCCTTTTTCCATAACTTAAAGATTAAGAGTATGCGAACCTAAAAACAGTTCAGATTCGGTGAATGGAAAGATTGCATACCTTGTAACAACTTGTTCAGATGAACGAGTTTTCTTCACATTTTCTTTATCATATCCTAGAAAGGTCGCGGTTAACTTTAACTCCTGATCATACAAGCATCATATATCAACTTACCAACTAGATGATCTTAATGCGAGAAAATATTGACTCAAAACTTCAAAGGATATAGAAACTTGACAACTAAAGGAACGGTTAGCGAGGAGATATAATCTAACCAATATCGATCGAATAAGCTAA